CTTTGTTGCGTATTTTACTATTTTTAACGGTTTGGACTAAATGAGAATTTTATTTTAAAAAGGTACCTAAAAGAGGAAGTAGTTCCGAGAGAGAGGGACCGAAGTGGCTGGAGAGCAGGTGAGGATTTCGCCGTCTGCTTTAACTACGTACGTCTCGGGATCCACTGCGATCTCGGGAAGGGAATCGTTCAGTTTCATGTTGAGTTTCGTGAGTCCCCTAACTCCAGACACCGCTTCCACTCTCTTCTTAAGCCCGTATGCCTCTTTTACCCCGTTTCTTAGAGCAGCCTAGTTAAGAGGCGAGAAAAGAAAGAACGAAAGTAAACGTCACCTTAAATCCACGGTAGTTAGGTGCAGGAAAAAAGGAAGAGAGAGTTAAATAGATTGATGCCTTGCTAACAAAAACTATGGAGTTTTCACTTCCAGCCTTGCCGAATGCTCCAAACATAGGTCTTGATATCACCTACGATCGATTTCATGAACATTGAGTCAATGACGAGTTGTTATTTTTGAGGTTGTGATACATAATAAACCTGGAAACTTCCAGAATTGAATATGCTCGTGTTTGTTGGTTTTTAATTAAAGATAAAATGACCTTGCAATAGCTCGTCTCACTCAGAAAGAAAGAGCAATTCAGACTACTTCTTACCGGTTCAGGAGTTGGTATGCTAGCATTTGGATCGCCCATATTGGCCCAAGCGATTTTACCGCCTTTTATTACCATTTCTGGTTTTGCTCCAAAGAATGCTGGCTTCCATAAAACCAGATCAGCCAGCTTCTTCTCCTGCAAAGTTTGTGCATTGCCGAGTTTTGTAAACGAAAACTGAGTTTTCGACGTGAATTCCTACCTTCTGAACAGTAACGATGCATTTGTTATCCTGCCTATGAGGGGATTACTGCATCAACATTTCTACTTTATTTTGAACCTGCGAAATCCCCGCTAGAAGTAACACCACTAACTTCTACAGCCCTAGAATCACCTTTGAAGATGCAGAAGCTAAGCACACGTCAAGTAAGAGAGATTCACAAGTTTAGTAGTTAATGGACAAACGTGAAAACGAAAACTGTTTAGTAGGAGGATAATGGAGCGTATGGTGTAATTGGTATACCTCCACCGAGCCGATAAAATTATTGAACCCATTTGTTATAGCTGGATTTATAGTGTACTTCGCAACATATCGCTTTATCCTCAAGTTATCATCATCGGCTGCACGAGGATCAAGGGGTCCCCTCTGCGCCTTCATCTTATCAGCAGTTTGCCAAGTTCTGCTTATCACCTAGCAACAGAGGTTTATTGCAATAAGCCTTTGTTGAAAGTTTTTCCGTAGATCATATAAACAACATAGGTAATTATGCATCAGGAAGCAAAGTAATTTTCCAGTCATTAAAGTGCTGTAAGTAATTTTGTGAAGTTTACCGCTTAACAGAACCTAACAAAAAAGATGAAGTTTAGAGTAATCTAGATTCTAGATGATAATACCAGAAAAAGTCTGTGAATAAAAACTAAGAACCTCTCCAATGCGACCCATGGCTTGTGAGTCAGAAGAGATGATGCTAATTGCACCGATATCATGCAATATGTCCTCAGCAGCTATTGTTTCAGCCCTTATCCTTGACTCGGCAAAAGCTACATCTTCTGGAATGTTCTTGTCGAGATGATGGCAAACCATCTGCATGCATTATTTGCCATTACGCTACTAAAAAGAACTACGTAGAGCAATTCAGCATTTATTGTATAATCGTCTCATACCAACATATCAAGATGTTCATCTATGGTATTTATTGTATATGGCCGCGTCGGGTTGGTTGAAGACGGGATGACATTTTTGACACCACATACTTTGATGATATCTGGAGCATGCCCACCACCCGCACCTTCACTGTTCAGTTGGAATTAAAGATAACAATTTTCAGATCACTTAAACATAAGAATTATCTTAACTTTGACAAAGTGGATGAACATATGGCATCTAAGTAAGCCTAGCTACAAACACAAATGGCAAGATCAATAGCTGAGCTCAACCTGTCAAAACAAGTTAAACGTGATTAAACAATCGTGCCTACTTCGTTTAAGACTGTCAAACAAGACTCAGATGATACTTCACAGATTACTAGTTTTCCTAGACTTGGCTCAATGTACCTGAAGTATTTCTAAAAATGGAGAAGATCAAGATTCAAATGACTGGTACAGTGCATGAAGGGTGAAATGCTACTGAACCTGTGGTAAGTGTGAATTGTTCTCCCTCGAAATGCATCGATTGTGTGCTCCACAAAACCCGATTCATTCAAGGTGTCGGTATGAATATTCACCTATCAAATCCAAACAAATGCCTACAAATGCGAACCAGATAAATTTATCATAAAAAAGTTTGGATAGACAGGAAAACCTGGATATCATGTT